GAGAAGAAGGGAGAGGGATAGAGAGCCAGAAACATTGATCGAGAGAGATCAATCAGCTGCCTCCTGCACGCCCCAGTGGGGATGTGCCTGCAACCAAGGTACATGCCCTTGACCGGAATCGAACCTGGGACCCCTGAGTCCGCAGGCCGACGCTCTATCCACTGAGCCAAACCGGTTTGGCCCAAAATTTATTTTTAAAAAAACCTTCATACAGCTCAACACCAAAAAACAAACAACCTCATTAAAAAATAGGTAAGGGACCTGAATTGACACGTCTCCAAAAAGGACATACAGATGGCCAATAGACAAACGAAAAGATGCTCAACATCACTAATCAGCGAAATGCAAATTAAAATCACAATGAAGTATCACCTCACACCTGTCAGAATGGCTATCACCAATAAAACAGCAAACAACAAGTCTTGGCAAGGACGGGGAGAAAAGGGAACCCCTGTGCACTGTTGGTGAGAATGCATATTGGTGCAGCCACTATGGGAAACAGAATGGAGGGCCCTCAATAAACTAAAAGTAGAACTGCCTGGTGGCCCAGCGATTCCACTTCTGGGTCTGTATCTGAAGAAACCCAAAACAGGAATTGGAAAGAATATATGCACTCCTATGTTCGTTACAGCATTATTTACAGTAGCCAAGGTATGGAAGCAATTTAAGGGGCCATTAACAGACAAGCAGATAAAAAAGTAGTGGTACATGTGTCTATAATGGAATATTACTTGGCCATAAGAAAGAATGAAATCTTATCATTTGTGACAGCATGGATGGACCTAGAGGATATGACGCCAAGTGAAAGAAGTCCGTCAGAAAAAGACAGATACCATGCGATTTCACTTGTATGTGGAATCTAATGAACAATATAAAGGAATAAATAAAACAGAAACAGACTCATAGATACAGAGAACAGACTGATGGGTGCCAGAGGGGGATTGGGTGGGGGGCTGGGTGAAAAGGGGGAAGGTATTGAGAAGTACATACTGGTACTTACAAATAGTCATAGGGATGTACAGTACAGCATCGGAAGGCTAGTCAATAAAACGGCATAAATACCTTTTAGAAGTTTTCTATTTCCAGAAAAGTTGCACCAGTAGTACAGAAGGGTTCCATATACCCCACACCCAGCTCCTCCTATGATTAACAATTTAAATCAGGCTGGTACTTTTGTTACAATGAATGGACCAGCGTTGATACATGATTCATGACTTAAGTCCACAGTTTATTCAGATCCATAGTCCTTTTCTCCTAATATCCTTTCTCTGCCCAGAAGCCCATCAGGATCCCAGGTAACATTCAGTCCTCACATCTCCATAGGCCCCTCTGGGCTGTGACATTTTCTCAGACTTTCCTGGTTTGGGGTGACTTTGACAGGTTTTGAGGAGGACGGGTCAGGGATTTTGTAAAATATACCTAAATTGGGGGTTTGTCTGGTGTTTTTCTCATGACTAGACCAGGGTGATGGGTTCTGAGAGGAAGACCCCACAGTGAAGGGCCCTTTCGTCCCCTCATAACCAGGGTCACATGTCAGCAAGTCTTACCACTGTTGACGTTGAGCTGAGCCCCTGCCTGAGGGTGTGGGTCAGGTTTCTCCACTGCAAAGTCCCTCTGTGCCCTTCTCATGCTGTCCTCTTGGGAAAGAACTCACTCTGTCCAGCCCACAGTAAAGCGCAGGGAGCTATTCTCCATCTCCTGAGGGCAGAGTATCTACATACATTATTTGGAATTTTTCTGTGCAGATAAGTTGTCTCCTCCCCTATATTTATTTAACCAGTCATTTCTTTAGACCCATATGGTCTCATGGACACTTTATTTTACTCTTTGGCTTACAATCCGAATAACTGCCCCAGCGTTGGCCATGGAGAGCGCTTCCGGTTGACTGCCATGTCCGTTGGAAAACTTCTTGCTGCATCTAAGCTCTGCAGCCACCCCATGAAGAGTGTGGCTTATATCCCAGAGCGTGTAAAACCGTGTGACCCCGGACGAGACCCTCCCTCTCTCTCAGCTTTGGCTTTCCCTAATGGAAAGACAATATCCATTCTGTTCTCTGCAGGGAGCCCTCCGGCACCGGGCGCTCTGATTTTCTGTGCTAATGCACAGATGTGTTTTGTGCCAACGCTTCCCAGAGCTAAACGGGTGTTGTTGTTGTTGTTGTCTGCACTCCCTGCTCCGGTTGCTGGATTTTCGGTGCCTGGTGATCGATGCCCCTCCTGGCTGGGTTCCCAGGCCACTCCGGGAAGAGACGGGGATGGACGCGCTTGGCAGCCCAGCAGAAGACACGTCCTGTGAGTTTCCACCCGTGCAGGAAGGGGTGCTCTGCCCGAGACTGTAGACATGCCAGCGGCTGTGACTCCTGAGTGGCACGCCAGGAAAGGGGGTGGTCCTGCTCTGAGGCCTGCAAGGAAAGCAGCTGTGGTGGGCAGGAGACATGTGGGCACCGTCACGAAGTCGGCACAGCGGTGCTGCTGAGTGTCCTTGAGCTGGTTACTCAACCTCTCTGTGCTTCCAGTTTCTCATTTACTAAATATAGGGAGTGAGCCTACCACACAATGGGGTGCAGCTCCCACCGGGTCAGGAAGTGGAGAGGAGGAGAAAGAAAGAAAAAGCACCTGTTTTTTGTTTTGTTCCTGTTTTCCTGTTTCCCCACAGCCCCTCCCAACACGCTGAACTTCAACGGAGCCCACCGCAAGCGAAAGACGCTGGTGGCCCCGGAGATCAACATCTCCCTGGACCAGAGCGAGGGCTCCCTGCTGTCGGACGACTTCTTGGACACCCCCGATGACCTGGACATCAACGTGGATGACATCGAGACCCCCGATGAGACGGACTCGCTGGAGTTCCTGGGGAACGGCAATGAGCTGGAGTGGGAAGGTGAGTGAGCTCGGGGTTTGCCCACGGCACCTGCCTGGCCCCCGGTCGCACTCAGCAGCCCTACTGGCTTCCGGGGCCAGCTTGGTAGAGCAATTCCTCCATCCCTGCAGGCTCGGGTAGGGCAGGTTCCCCAACTTGGGGCTCACGGGGCACCCCAGATCCTCCTGCCCCTGCAACTCCATGCATGTTTTTCTTGCAAACTTGGGTTTTTCCGGGGGAACATGGTTCTCAAAGCTGACGGAGACCAAAAGAAAGTGCCTCCGGCTGACCCCACGCGTGTTTGTGGGGCATTTACTCAGGAGCAGGTCTCACCTGTGTCGTGGGGTGTGGAGGGAATACGGCAGGAAGAGAGGGTGCCCGCCTGCACGCACACTGGTCAGAGACAGACACTAGGTAATGAAAGAAAGGAGTCTGAGGTCAAGCAGCTGGTCATCAGTGCTGTGAGCACCTTAGGGGAGGTGAAGGCCTGGGGCAGGGTCTCACCTGAGGGGCGATTCTGTCCCCCAAAGAACACTGGGCAATGTTTGGTGACATCTGTGGAGACCAGGGGTGCTGCTCAACACCCCACAGTGCCCAGGACAGCCCTCCCCCCGCCCCCAGAGAATGATCCAGGCCCAAATACCCTAAATGCTCAGGGTGAGACCCCTTGAGCTGGGGGAGCTGGGTGTGGGGGACTCCTTTGGAAGGGTGGTCAGGGCAGGTCTCGCTGGGGGGATGTTAGTTGATCTGACATCTCAAGACAAAAGCACAGGTCAGGTCAGAAAGACTGCGATGGCGGTGGCCACAGGAATAGAATCAGAGCCGGATGGAATCAGAGCCGCAGAACCTGCTGGGTGGGTGTGGAATATAAAGGGGAGGAAGGAGCCAGTGGTGATGCCGGGGGTTGGTGGGGGCCGAGTCACTTCCTGAGGCAGGAGGCCTGCAGGGCGAGAGGTGGGAACGAGGTGGGTGTTTTAAGAGTGGCTGAGCAGGGACGATGCCCAGAGAGGGAAAGAAGGCGTGCCAGGTCACACAGCAGGCCGTTCACAGAAATGAGCTCTCCCCGGGCTGACGGCCTGACACCCACCCTGGGCACATTCCTGTGTGCCGTGGCTCGAAAGAAAGTTATTTGGGTGTGACTTTCTGACGACCAGGTCCCTCGTTTTCCCAGCCACCTCAGGCTAACGCTGTTGGTGAGTGAAGTAGAGGACAAGTGTTTTGCCTGTGGCCTGGGGAGAGAGGTGGGGGCTCTGCGGCCATGGGCAGCAGAGGGAGCTGGGAGAGGCTGGGACGAGACATCAAACTCAGGCGTCCCTTCCAGATGACACGCCCGTGGCCGCTGCCAAGAACATGCCGGGGGCCAGCGCGGATCTGTTCGGGGACAGCACGGCTGAGGACGGCAGTGCCGCCAACGGGCGCCTGTGGCGGACAGTGATCATCGGAGAACAAGAGCATCGCATTGACCTGCACATGATCCGGCCCTACATGAGGGTGGTGACCCACGGAGGTGAGGCCACACCCCTGGGGCCCCCTCCTGACTCCAGCTGGGCAACTGGAGCCCCCTCAGTGGCCCTGTCTGAACCCCAGCCTCTTCAGGAGCCACGGGGATGCTAAGCTCTCGTCTCTGGGTGGGTGGGGGTGGAACTTGCATGAGGATGAGCCATGGATGCCGGGTGCACATTGGGGGTGCCTAGGAGGATGGCTGGCGTCCCCGACCAAAGGCAGGACAGGTCAGGGGCCTGGGGCGGCTCAGAGCTTAGAGCTCAGCGAGGGCTCTGCCCGTCTCTGCCCGGCGCTCACTGGCGGCCTCTCCCCAGGGTACTATGGTGAAGGTCTCAGCGCCATCATCGTCTTCGCCGCCTGCTTCCTCCCAGACAGCAGCTCTCCCGACTACCACTACCTCATGGAGCACCTCTTCCTGTAAGTGGCCGCCGGCTGCACCCCCGCCACCGACATTCCTGAGGGCCCGGCAGTGGGCTGGACCAGGCTGTGCGAACCACGTTGGGAGGGGGCTCTGCCTGGTACCAGGCAGGGGCTGGGCCACCAGCAGACCCGGATCTGCGTTCCCTGCTCACCCACTGGGCCTCATCGGTGCAACCATGATCGTCAGCGTCGCTGTCATGTATTGAGTGTTCACTACGCGGCAGCCACGAGGCTGCGAGCTGCGTCCCTGATGACGCACTCCATCCTCTCCATAACCCTGTGGGGTGGGCACCTCCCATTCGACAGGGGCAGAGTCCGAGACACAGACAGTAAGTCACTCGCCCAAGGACACACAGGTAGCGTTTTGTTGTGACGGAGCCAGGTAACACATACAAAGCACCGGGCAGATGACAGTAAGAGCTCTGTAAGTCATGATCACTCATTATCGTTATTATGAAGATTCCCTTCTTACACAGCAGGGCTTGGGTGCCAGCTGGGCTGGAGGATGAGGAGGTACCTGTGGGAGGTCAGCATGGGAAGTGGCCTGAGAGACCAGGGAACCCAGTCTCCCAATTACAGATGGGAAAGGAGAGGCTACGAGAGAGGAAAGGATTTTTCTGAAATCCCTCAGAGAGAGATAGAGCCAGGAGGGACCCCAGGTCCCTAACATCTGGTGCCGTGAGCTACCCACGGTGGGTGCCTGTTCCCCAGCTGTATCTGGGGCCATTGAGATCCATTCCCAGAATTAGTGGAGATAATGCATATCAGTGAAGTCATGCGTATAAAGCATGGCACATAGTAAGTGCTCAATTAAATAGTAACTACTGTGATCATTATACTCACGGACACAAATTTGGGGTGGGCTGGTGTTAATCACATCCACACACACACACCCCCTGGAGTGTGGCTGGCGCAGCTGGGGCCGGGGGTGGCAAAGGGAGCAGGTGCCACAGGTGTCCAGCCCCAGGACCTGGGGCTTTCTAACTCAGGATCGCTCTCACGGGGTCCCCTGTCCTCCGTGCCCTGTGACCAGGTACGTCATCAGCAGTTTGGAACTCCTGGTGGCAGAGGATTACATGATCGTGTACCTGAACGGTGCCACCCCCCGGCGGAGGATGCCAGGCATCAGCTGGCTGAAGAAGTGCTACCAGATGATCGATAGAAGGTGAGGGGGAGGGGCGGGGCCCGCCTCCGGTGCAAGGGGACCCGAGCAGGGCTGGTTCCAGAGGGAGACTCTGGGGCCCTGAGGGAGCATCTGCTCCGTGCTCCCCCAGCTTCTAGTGGTCGCCGGCAAGCCTTGGTGCCCCTTGGTTTGTAGATGAATCACCCCAGTCTCTACCTTCATCTCCACATGGCATCTCCCTGAGTGTGCGTCTGTGTCTTCAATTTCCTCTTTTCACAAGGACGCCACTCATCATGTATTAGAGGCCCACCCTGCTCTGGTCTGACCTCACCTGAAATCGTTGCATCTGCAAAGACCCTGTTTTCCAAATAGTGTCCCCTTCTCGGGACCCAGAAGTTATGGATTTGGGGGGAGAAGGGGGGATGCAATTCAGCATGACCAATGAAAATTGCTCAGACTCTAATTTAGGAGAGAGACAGCTCCGCCACTTGCAAACTCCGCCAAGGGGCTTAGCTTTCAGAGACTCTGCCTTCTCCCTGTAACGTGGTGGTGCCCCCAGGGAGGGCGGAGGAGGCAGCCCCTCCCTTCCCAGGGCCTGCCCCAGGAGCCCATCTTGCTGCTTCTGCCTTCCCACGCAGGTTACGGAAGAACCTGAAGTCCTTAATCATCGTCCACCCGTCCTGGTTCATCCGCACTGTGCTGGCCATCTCCCGGCCTTTCATCAGGTGAGGCTGTAACCTGTGTCCAGATCCCGCATGGGTTGTGTCTTTTATTTTTAATCTGCATTTCCCAACTTCTCTATGCTAAATAGGTATTATTAATTTAAAAACTTTTCAATCACAGGTATTGTTATTAAGCGACAAACGCGAGAGAAATAATAATCAGCTCTCCCATATTGAATGGTGGATACCTCTTACCATTTAACCCTGAGACGCTGGTGTCATCGTGTACATTTCAGGGATGAGTAAACTGAGGCTCAGAAAGGTCCAGGAACTCACCCAGACTCACACAGCAAGGTCACTAGCCCACCACACTCCCCAGGAGGGAACCCAGCTCCGTTCACTCCAGAATTTGTGGGGGAGCCATTAGGATGCCAAGAGGGTCTGACCTACTCCTGGCCAATCATTCAATGAACCAACACGTGAAACGCCCCCTCTTGGGATCGATGATTTACCAAAAGGACTCACAGGACTCAGAGAAGCTGCTATACCCATGGTTCCGCTTTATTACTGCAAACAGATGAAGATTAAAATTGGCAAAGGAAACGGGTGCACACGGGAGTCTAGGAGAAACCGGAAATGAGCTTCCAGGGAGCCCCTCCCGGTTGTGCCAAAAGCCCTGATTCTCCCAGCAAGCACATGTGACAACTAGGAAGCTCACCCTGGTGTCCGGGGCTCAGCCACACGGGAACGGAGCACCGGGTGCCCGAACCTACTCGGTCTTCAGCGACTCCAGAGATCAAATTGACATTACGTGGCTCAAGGCCCCCACCCTAAACCACACCGTTAGCATAGACTACACGGCAGGCTTTGAGGCCCCAGGTCACCTAAGACACTCTTACCAGGCAGGACAATTCTGAGCTTACAGGTGATCTCCCACGAGTACCAAGAGCCAGCTCTTTCCTTGCAATGTGCAGGGGTTTGGGTCCTCCAAAGCCTGCTAGGTTCGCCCTCTGCTGCACAATATAGAAGCACCTGGAAAAACAGAGCAAGGAAAACCCAAATTTACATGCCCTAGTTAATCACAAACAAACTGAGTGTACATTTAACTTAAATATCATGCCAAACACTGAACTGAGTCAAGATCCTTCTTCATTTCCACATTCCCAACTAAGAATCTGTGATGCGTTTCAGAGTCAGGCCCAGCCCAGCCAGCGTGGCTCAGTGGTTGAGCGTGGACCTAGGAACCAGGAGGTCACGGTTCGATTCCTGGTCAGGGCACAAGGCCAGGTTGTGGGCTCCATCCCCAGTGTGAGGCGTGCAGGAGGCAGCCGATCCATGATTCCCTCTCATCGTGGATGTTTCTATCTCTCTCTCTCTCTCTCTTCCTCTTCCCCTCTGAAATTAAAAAAAATAAATAAAAGAGTCGGGCCCATACTTTGCCTTGAAGGATTTGCAAGGAGGCGACTTCAGGCGCTCTGTGCTCAAGGACTCGTAATAGTGAAAGCAGGCGAATAATGCACTAACTATGGATCCTTTGTGCTCATGATGAACCCACTGGGCAGAACGGTGAACACGCACGTCGGCCTAACAGAATGGCGTTCTGGCCTCAATATCCCATCACCCAAGGCAGACCATTCCCTCACTCTTGGTTGCTATTCCCATGGCAAATTGTGAGGATCTTGTTTTGAGCTTTCAAAGAAAGAAGAGGGGAGAGGGGAGGAAAATGCACTTCTTTTGAAAGCTGAGGAAAGTGGCCCTGGCCAGTGTGGCCCCGTTGGTTGGACATGATCTGGGGCACTACAAGGTTGCAGGCTCGATTCCCGGTCAGGGCCTGGGCTTCGGGCTCGATCCCCAGAAGGGCGTGCAGGAGGCAGCCAATCTGTACTCTCACATTGATTCTCTCTCCCTCTTCCTTCCTCTCTCTCTAAAAGTCAATTTTAAAAATCTGTAACAGAAAAGCTGAGGAAAATGGAAGCCAATTCTGACCTGCAGTCCAACCCCGAGGTTCTGTGATTGTATCTCCAAGAAAACCCCCGTGTGTTCCATGCTAATCGAAGGTTGGGGATGTGCTGCCACTGACCTGGAATTCTCCCTCGTGACAGCGCCCCCCCCCCCTCCTCCCGCCCCAACATGAGTCAGAAAGCTCAGCTCACAGGCAGAAATCACAGCAGAGATAGGGGTATCTGTTTCCAGTGATGGGCATGGTGGGTGTGACCACACCCTCATGACGTAAGTTTTGCCTGTATTTATAGACCGGTACTCAGAGCAGCAGGTGTTGGCTCTGAGCACCACAAAGAAATCCTTCCTAACAAATCCAGTCAGCCCGCCCTGAGCCTGCGGAGCCCGGGATATTCAGGCACAGAGTGGACGACCCGGTGAGACCGGTGGGGACAGGATTCCTGCCGGGTCTGAGACTCGCTCTCTACCTGTTCACCCTTAACCTCTGTCACACCCGCTGGAGGGAGGCCTCGTGCGGTGAGAATAATTTTTTTAATTAAAAAAAAAATGCATTTGACCTGCACGAAAGCAGTGGGCGTTGTTCATTCCAGTACACACGGCTGCTTTGTGACTGCCCATGGGAAAACTCTGTCTTTCCCAATCAGTTCCCGCTGGCCTCTGCGAAGAAACTGCTTTATTTGTCCCTTGTAGGCACTGTGAGCTGCAGAACTCATCGCTGAATGCCAGAGAGCTTGAGCTGAATTTTTGTCTAATCTCTAAAAATAGATATAAATCTTCTTGACACTCTTGTAGACGTTTCGCTGTATCTTTCCTTTTTTAAAAAAACAAACAAACATGTTTTTATTGATTTCAGAGAGGAAGGGAGAGGGAGAGAGAGAGAGAAACATCAATGGTGAGAGAGAATCATTGATTGGCTGCCTCCTGCACGCCCCCTACTGGAGATCGAGCCCGCAACCCAGGCATGTGCCCTTGATCAAATTCGAACCTGGGACCTTTCAGTCCTCTATCCACTGAGCCAAACCAGCCAGAGCATAACTTTCCTTTTTTATTATTACTTATTTTCTTCTGTTTATTTTTAATTATTAAATTTATTATTTTTTTATTTAGCAAACTTTTTAAAAATATTTTTTTTATTGATTTCAGCGAGGAAGGGAGAGAAAGAGATAGAACCACCAATGATGAGAGAGAATCATTGATGGCTGCCTCCTGCACACCCCCCACCAGGGATTGAGCCCACAACCCTGGCATGTGCCCTTGACCAGAATCCAACCCGGGACCCTTCAGTCCGCAGGCTGACGCTCTGGCCACTGAGCCACACCGGCTGGGGGCTGTTTTCTTCTTTGTTGTGCTGTTGTATTCTCTTGGCCTTACATTTCTCATTGTTAAAAATTTTTCTTTTCCCTGGAAAAAAGTGTATTTTCCATATCACCAAGACTAGATTTAAGTTTTAAAAATTTTTTTTTTAATAACCGTGAGTTCAAAGCAGCGTGCTGGTGACCAAGCACAGCCTGGTCCCGACAGCCTGAGTCCGGGCTTGGACGGGAAGAAGCCATTCATCCCGAAAGAATGGAGGGTGAATCAGCAGCCCCACGTGTGCCTTTCCGTGCCCCGATGATGACTGGTGTTGTCCCCAGCAGGGGCCAGAGCGCCAGGAAAGCATCCCTGGGAGAATGAACGCAGAGGAGCAATTCTTAGGTGGATGAAGAGGATACTTAGTCTGTTAGAACCTCTTGCCTCTTTGCTTCCTTTAAACAAATGCTTAGTGGGGATCGGGCCCGGGACCTCTCTCCTCTTGCCAGGGAGCCCTCAGGCCTTGCTCTGTCCACCCCACTAGGGTAGAGGGTGGAGCCTGGCACTGGGTGGGGAGGGAGATTTGAGCGTAGTGCTTAGGGCCTCCTCGAGTTGGGTTATGCGTGCCACCCTCCTTCTGTCTGCCATCGCTCCTTCTGGCTCTGGGTAACCACATCGTCTCCTCCTCCTGGCAGCGTCAAATTCATCAACAAGATCCAGTATGTGCACAGCTTGGAAGAGCTGGAGCAGCTCATCCCCATGGAGCATGTGCAGATCCCAGACTGCGTGCTACAGTGAGTGTCCCCATGCCCTGTGAGTGCCCCTCCTGCATCCTCAAGGCCCCCCGGCTCCTCAGGTTCCCACTCAGCTGCCCAAAACCGCACGTGAGCGGGAGAGCAGCAGGACGGAGGGCATCAGTGAAACAAACATGTGTGAAATTAGGAAGTACAGTGGGCCTGGGGACCTAGTGCGGGGCCGGGCCAGCAAGCCACAGCCCGCAGCTTGGTTTTATAAATAAAGTTTTATCGGCACACAGCCACACCCACTTGTTAACAGATGGTCTAGGGCAGTGGTCGGCAAACTCATTAGTCAACAGAGCCAAATATCAACAGTACAAGGATTGAAATTTCTTTTGAGAGCCAAATTTTTTAAACTTAAACTATATAGGTAGGTACATTGTTATTAACTTACTTAGGGTACTCCTAAGCTGGCCTTTGCTAAAAATGTCCTCAATCTGATTGAGGTCCGTTCACTGAGGTCGACCCCTTCCAACTCTCCCATCCACACTCGTCTTGTATACTTGTTTCGTCTATCTCCTTTCGTTCATCCTCTCTATATGTCCAAACCATCTCAACATACCTTTCTCAATCCTCGTCACTACATCTTCTTTCACTCCACAACGTTCCCTAAAATTAACTTAATAAACTTTACTTAAAGTTTTAAGTCAACTTTGCACTGTACGTGCGCGCCCGCACGTGATATTTTGTGGAAGAGCCACATTCAAGGGGCCAAAGAGCCGCATGTGGCTCACGAGCCTCGGTTTGCCGACCACTGGACTAGGGCTGTTTTCAAGCTACAACTGAATTGAGTTGGCGCAACCAAGACTGGCCTGCAAAGCTGAAAATAGTTACTCTCCGGCCCTTTACGGAAATACTTTGCCCTAATGGAGGGGTGTGTTGTTTTATCACGGCACTGTTCCATCGCTGGGTCAGGCCAGATGTCTGCCGAGTCGCATCTACACCAGATGCTGGAATACATCAACAATACAGATACTCCCTGCCCTGGGGGGCTTGCAGAGCAGCTGCAGGGAACATGTAAAGGCCAGCAGGCTGTCAGCTCCGGCTGTACTTTCTGCCCTGAACCCTGGTTTACATTCAGAGCTCCCTGGGCGGTGTGCCGACGGGGAAGGAGGGCTGTGTCTGACCTGCTGCTCCTCCTCTCTTCCAGGTATGAAGAGGAAAGGCTCAAGGCCAGGAGAGAAAGGTCTGTGCAGAGTGGCCCTGTCCGGGCGGGGTGGGGGCTGGTGCTGAGCTGGGCCTGCCTGTGGGGAGCAGCCGATGGCTTTGGCTCTGCAGGGACCAATGTCACACTAAGAGGCCCTGCACTTCTCTCGAGAACTTGGAGTTGGACCTGAGTTCAAATCCAGATTTCCCTACTGAGTCACAGAACGACATTAGGCAAATAAAACGTTCACAGTGGCCTTGGGGGTTACAGTGGAAAATCAGGAGCAGTGTAGCCCCTTGCAAAGCAGTGGGCTCAGGGTAATCATGATGAGAGATATCAAGGTCTCCCTCTACAGAGGAAACAGGAGCCCCACACTCACCGCAACAGACCCAGACGTGCCCACTTAATGCCTTACTGGCTCATTTCTCATTAATAAGATCCAGTATGTCACAGACCTTCAAGACGGTTCTGGTCCCGTCCAAGTATAGAGCCCTTAGCCCATCGCCTGGATACTTTCACATCCCTTGCCCCTCAAAAGCCAGGCAGGCCCAGGACACAAACGGCATCTTACAGCCCAGGTATGTGAGGCTCAGAGAGGGCGAGGTACCTGCTCATGGCCACACAGCAAGTCTGTGGGAGAGTTGGGGCTTTCAACAGGTGGAAAGTGTGTATCATTGCCTGGCTCTGGGCTAGAATCCAGGGACACAGAGGCGACTAAGAGAGATTCCTGGTCCAGAAGTTCCTTTAAATGGCAAAAGAGAGGGACACCTCACCCAGTGAGGAAAGCGGGTCCTGGCGACAGGGCAGGGTGATGTTGGCAGATGAGACACAGCGGCATTTGATGACGACTGAGGGCAGCATGGAGGCCGCGAGGCCGAGGGCGGGCGGGGCTCACCATCCCTTGCCATTCGGGAATTTTTCCTCACTCCTCTCCTAGCTCTTCTCTCCTTCCTTCCTCCTTCCTTCCTTCCTCCCTCCCTTTCTTCGTTCATCCTGTCATTCTTTTAAAAAAATTTTTACATGTAGTAAAACTCACATAATGTAAAATTCACCATTTTAACCATTTTTAACCAGTGCCGCTCAGTGGCACTAAGTACATTCACATTGTTGTGCAAACATAACCACCGTCCAGCTCCCAAACTTCATCTTCCCAAACGGAAACTCTGTCCCCATAAACACTGACCTCTCCCCCAGCCCCTGGCCCCCATCAGCTGCTTTGTCTCCGTGGGTCTGACTCCTCTGGGGACCTCACGTAGGGGAGTCATTCTGCTGCCCACAGTGGCTGCACCACTTACCTTCCCACCAGCAGGGCACAGAGTTCCAGTTCACATCCTTGTCATAACTTGTTGCTTTGTTTTTATGAGAGTAGGCATCTCAATGGGCATGAAGTGGAAATATCTCTTTCCTTTTTCTTTTTCTTTCCTCCTCCCTCCCGCCCTCCCCTCCTTTCCTTCCTCTCTCTCTCTCTCTTTCTCTCTCTCTCTCTCTCTCTCTCTCTCTCTGAGTTGTAATCCTCCTGCCAAGCTTTAGCCACGAACAGGAATACAGACCTAACACAAGCAGGACACCACCTTCTGGCACCGTAGCACAGGGGGGCCAGCATCCATGGGACACGTGCACAGATGCCTCTGGGGGATACGCTGAGATCAATGCTCAGACGGAATGGTTCAGGGTCTCTCCCCCTCCCCTGTCCCCCCTTCCTCACAGCTGCCTCATCTTCATTAGCCCCTGGGTGACCACTTCTCACCACCCTCCCGGGCCCCGCATTTCCTGGGGGCAGCAAAAACCGCCCTGTTCAAACTGCTCTCAGGCCACAGTGGGCCCGGGTCAGAGAGGCCGGTGGGAGCCGAGATCCCCTTCCTCCACAGCGCCTCGTCATCCCTGCCACCTCTCTGTGTCCCCAGCGCAAGGCCGCAGCCGGAGCTGGTCCTGCCCAGGTCGGAAGAGAAGCCGGAGGCAGCGCCTGCGGAGCACAGGTAAGGACGCAGGGGACCACAGGTGAGCTGATACCCACCGGGCTGCGGGGCCCGCCAGAACGTCCGATAAAAGTGGTCACGGCGTTACCGTGTTTTCATGATCCCGATGCGACCAGGATGATGAGAAGCAAACACGGGTATGAACCAGCCAGTGTGATGCTTACCCCCTCCCCCATAGATGCTCCATGTTGGGGTCACTCTTCCCTCCACCCTGAGCTGTCCCTTCTGGGGCCACTTGCAGAGGCCACTATTGAAATTTAAACGAATTCACAGTAAATAAAATTTAGAAGTTCGCTCCTCGGTCTCACTTGCCACGTTTCCAGGCTCAGGGCTCCTGTGCTGGACAACATGGAAACAGAACATGTTACTTGTCGGCTTAAGGTCTAGGGACAGGGTGCCTCCGGCCCTTCCCTTCCCCTGGGTTTTCCTCACTCGTTTATTTTTAATTGAGGTGAAACTCACATAACATCCAATGAACCATTTTATTTTTTTTTATTTTTTTTTTATTAACACATATCATTACCAATGAACCATTTTATAAAGTACACCATGTAGCCTGGCCGGTGTAGCTCAGTGGTTGAGCGTCAACCTATGAACCAGAAGGTCACGGTTCGATTCCCAGTCAGGGCACATGCCCAGGGTTGTGGGCTCGATCCCCAGTAGGGGGCGTGCAGGAGGCAGCTGATCAGTGGTTCTCTCTCATTATAGATGTTTCTATCTCTCCCTCTCTCTTCCTCTCTGAAATCAATGAAAATATATTTTAATAAAATAAAGTACACCATTTAGTGCATTCAGGACCTCTCTCTCCTAGTTCCAGAACCCCCCCTTTAGCCCAGGGGAGACCCTTAAGCAGCTACTCCATTCCCTCCCTCCCCCTTCTGTTTAAAATCCA